TTAAATAAGGCTCAAGGTGATTCTCTTGCCCTTGAATAAGACAGACAAAAGGTAGAGAACTTGAAGACATTTATTTGATTGGTAATCATACCTCTTTTTTGTGATCTCTCAAAGTATCAGTTAACTCAGTTGTAAAAATTAGAGGTAGTAGTAGCATATTAAGGTAGTCTTAAAGATGTAATAAATATTATGAAACAAGCTGTTTATGAATTCTCAAGGTCCATGTAAATGTTAGTTGCAAACCTACACTGAAGTGTTTTTCCTGGTTTGGCCCTTATTCATAATAGTGACTTCAGTGGCTTGGTCATAGAAGTGACTTCATTGTTAAACCTGCTTCTCATTCGTGGTGCAGAAGTTTATGGAAAGTATGAGCTGGGATTAGGAGGTCTAGGTATTATAGTAAAGTCTCTGTCACTGCATGATGTTTCTCTCTGCTTGGTTTTCTTATTTACATATATAAAGGTAGCACTGTCATCTGGTACTTTTAAAGATCAAATAAGATAGTGTAATACTCTCACTCTGCTTTTGTTAAGAAAAGAGAATAAGATAGTGGAATCAGAGCACTTATCACAAATGCCTGGCATATAGAAGACACTTTATGGAAGCTATATGTTATGATTGTTTATATAACCCACCTTTTCTGTATCTTTTTCTCATTTTATTTCTTTCTTGATTTTGAAGTTCTGTCTTCTTAAATCCTGACTCCTAATTCCCAAATTTCTGTCTCCTGTACCAGATGCTTGGTACTGGACCAGATATCTGCAGGGACTAGATCCTTGAACACTTCAAGCCCTGTCTGTGTTATTGCACCTTGAGAATCACAATACGAGATGTCAATTAAGTATGCCAGCTTGTCATTGATTTGTTTCAGAAACAGATTCACAGACTGATTTATAACTAGAATATCCATTTACAGTGTGAAATAGAAGTGTTAAACAGTATTTTCTTCCTATTTCTTTCTATAAGAAAATTTTTTCCAATTATAATCATTAGTTGCTTTTCACACACGAATTCTGAGTGATGGGGGTTAACTGTATGATCTAAGTATTTAGTGTCACTGTGTGATCTAAGTAGTGTCACCAGGTTATATCGTCCAGTCTGATGTATTCATGCCCACTATAACAGTGTATTTAACACATGGGCTAGACTTATTTCTATCCATGAATGAGGCTACAAGACTGCTGGAGAAATAGAAAAGTCTTGTTTCATGATTATCCTTTTTCTAGGTTCTAAACTGACTGACTCAGTTAAATTTTTCTTCAGAGTGTGTATGTGTGTGTCTGTGTAAAATTTCCTTTTTATAATCAATTCTGTCATGTTTCCCTGATACTTTATAATGCTTGATTATTGATTAGAGTGAGTACCTTCTGCAGAATGTAATGATTTAATTTCATTACATACGGATATTTCTTCATTTCACCTTCAGGAGGGTATGTTTTTTGTGATGGTTGGAGAAGGTCCAGGTCCCTGGCTGAGGCAGCCTGGTATATGATAAGAGTATGGGCTTTTGTAATTAGACTTGAAATCTGGCCTCACTACTTGTAACTTGTGTGGTTTTTGGAGAAATTGCTTAATCTGCCAGCCTCAATTTCCTCATCTATGAAATGGAGATAATACAACAGTTTTGTAAGATGGATAGTAAGGATTCCATGAAAGGATTTTATATGCAATTATACATAAACCTAGAAAAGAATATATAGCTAATATAATCCAGTATCATTCATGTATGTCATTGCTGTTTTAATTTATTTGGGCTGGGCTATGAACTTCATCCCCCTTTCTGGGTTTGTTAACTTAGTTTACAGTCTATTTTCTGATATTCTATTTCCCCACTCCCAAATTATGTATGGTACGCTTACTAAGTGTGAGCATCCATACGTAGTGTTAACTGAACATTGGTGTACTTTCACTGAATTGATGCAGAAAAGAATAGTAGAAGCCTAGGATTTTCTTAGGTTTCAGAATTATATTCAGTTTTACCTTTTATGATTTGAGAATTCTTCATAACAGTTCTAAGAGTATACTCAACAGATTTGTGAATTATAGGAATATGAAATATCACCTATTCAGAAATTAACTTTTTATTTTGTTCTATTTAGGAAGGCGACATGCCAATTCATGAACTTCTCAGCCTTTATGGTTATGATAGTACTATTCGACTACCTGAGGAAGATGAGGAGGAGGAGGAGGAGGAAGAAGGTGAAGATGATGAAGATGCTGATAATGATGATAACAGTGGCTGTAGTGGGGAAAATAAAGTAAGGTTATACACATATATTTTTATTCCTCTTGAAGTTAAAGTTTATTAATACATTCATTTTGACTGCTTATTTTTGTCATTTGTTTTTACTGACTTTAAAAGTAATACATTTAAATGTTAAAAGTTAATATATAGATATACGTAATACAAATTGGAAGTCCCCTGTAATCTACTCCAGAGAAGTAATAGTTTTCTGTGTCATTCCAGATTTCTTATCAATGCCTAGTCTAAATAAATTTGTACAAACTTTTTAAAAAATGCTATTTTTTTAAAGTAATAAAGGCTAATTGGCAGTTCCGTATTCACTTTTATTTTGTTTTGAAATAATTTTAGATTTACAGAAGAGGCTCAAAGATAGTACAGAGTTTCTGTATATTCTTCACTCAATTACCCCTAATGTTAGCATCTGTGTAACCATGGTCTATTTATTAAAACTAAGAAATTGGGCTTCCCTGGTGGCGCAGTGGTTGAGAGTCCGCCTGCCGATGCAGGGAACATGGGTTCGTGCCCCAGTCCGGGAAGATCCCACATGCCGCAGAGCGGCTGGGCCCGTGAGCCATGGCCGGTGAGCCTGCGCGCCTGGAGCCTGTGCTCCACACGGGAGAGGCCACAACAAAGAGAGGCCCGCGTAATGCAAAAAAAAAAAAAAACAAAAAAAAAACCTAAGAAATCAACAGTGGTACCATACTATTAATTAAACTACAGACAATTCAGATTTCATGAGATTTTCCACTGATGTTCTTCTTCCTGTTCCAGGATCCAACCCCAAGACACCACTTAGTATATTTATTTTAGCCTTCCAGTTGTATTTGGAATACTATGACCTTTCATCTGCAACAATCTTCTTTTTATCTTAGAGATATAATTTATTATTCCACAGGAAGAGAATATAAAAGATTCCTCAGGTCAAGAGGATGAAACTCAGTCTTCCAATGATGATCCATCACAATCTGTTGCTTCTCAAGATGCCCAGGAAATAATCCGTCCACGTCGATGTAAATATTTTGATACAAGTAAGTGTTATTAGTTACTGTTTTTTGGATATGATTTTTACTGCTTAATATATGCCTAAAATTTTAGTGGTTTTTTTTCACTACTCTGTTTGAATTCATTGATTTTGAAATCTTGCTCATCAGTAATGGGATTTTGTTCTAGATTATTAGTTTAGCAGTACTGGGGCCCTCTTGTCCATGAATATACTACAGTAATTACTGTGTCACTATGATGCCCGATTCTGAGTATGTTCCTTTTTTTCCCGCTTGACTGTTCTTTAGTTTGTTTCATGGTCATCTTTTTTATTTCTCCTAGTCTTTTCCTCAGTTTTCCATTTTCTGCTTTCTTTGCCTCCTCAGCCTTGATATATTCATAAGCATTGCTTTCTCTAATCAATGGCTCCCAAGTCCAAAAAGTGGTTGACTCTTGAAGTAGGAATATGTTATACAAAGAACTCTCCTAATTTTTCTACAGTTATGATCTAGTCAGAGATGACCAATAGTCAAGACAACATTTAATATATGTATCTTGAATATTTGCATGTTTCATCTGCTCCTTACTCTGGAAGTAAGATAAGAAAAAGTTAAACATTAGTGTTATTAGTTTAAATATGTGGTCTAAATTTCTATACTTGAAAAAGGAAAATAGTTGAAGAACAATAACCTCTCATGAAATGTGGTAAAGTAATAACTGATTAAACATGGCTACTTCTTTGTATGAGTGACTTCTGTTACACAGTTTGTTTAGAAGTGAATGTAGGGCTGCTAATAATAATTTTATTGTGAACTTTGATCACAGATATGGTCCAACTGAAAAGTATATCAATGCACAGAGAGATTAGTTACTGAGATAATTGTTTGGGGGAAATGTGGTATTTTTCCCTTAGTTAAACCAGGAGCAGATCCATTGCCAAAGTTTGCTCAAAAGTGGGATACTAAGTGACTGCCTCTTGAAATAATATTTCATAATTCACATCTGGTATTTTAGTTATGGTGTATGCATTGAAGCTACAAATATACTGCCTATCTTAGCTTTTCCATAGGAAGAATTAATTTCTGTATGCAGTGTTACCCTTTTGAATTTCGTGTGCCATTTTAGAGTTGAGAAGATGCTGACAGTCTCATGGTTTTCAGATTTCCCACCCCTTTATGTAAATACATTCTTAGTCCAAAATGTAAACAAATAGCAGCTTGCCTGCTCTGAATAAAATAGAAGTTGGGAAGACATACATACCCTCTCTTCATGCGCTCCCCCCAAAGTGGTGCTACAGAGTTGTCAGTGCTTTAAGGAGCACTGTTCAGAAACCACTGTTTTGCCCCAGTTCTTATTTTATAAGGGAAGAAACTGAGATCATATAATTTATTCTGTCACCAAGCTGTTGGAAGGAGAATTAGGCTTAGAAACAGATTATCTTGACTCTGAATCAGATTTTTTCTTAAAATTTTTTGTAGGAAATCATTTTATGAAAATACAGTTGTCTAAGAAGATTGTCCTAGAAGGTTTATGAGTTTTGTTTTTTTTGTTTTAACTGACAGGGTATTATTTGATTAAAAATATCTTGACCTACCTCTGCAAATAACTTTTGGCGTATTTAAATACTTGATGGTAGAAATAAGAATGGATAGGATAAGCAATCATTTTATAGTACTATTGTCTTACTTATTCTAGATAGTGAAATAGAAGAAGAATCTGAAGAAGATGAAGATTATATACCATCAGAAGACTGGAAAAAGGTAGTTAGAGCCGTATTTTCCCAAAACTTAGATAAATAAATATTTAAAAAGCCAAGTGTAATTATTCTTTTACTAAGTATAAATATTGATAAAATTGAAGTAAGTCTTTTTGTGACATATGAATGTTTAGACTTTCCCTTAATACATCCAGGTAAGAAAAATAATTTACCTTTTTATAAATAAAATAATGGTATAGAAAAATTTGGACTTTGTTGAGTAAGCCAGTACTCAGAGCAAGATTAGAAATCCAAATTTCTGAACCACTACAATTACACTTTTGTTAGCTACACTATAAAAAGTATCACATGTGATTTTTTTTTTTTTTTTTTTTATACTTGAGAAAGCAGTTGTGGAGGCTTTGGTATTTGTTAAGTAAATTTTGTTTAATAAGTTAGATTACAAGTTTTTCCATCCCATATTAATGTCGATATTTACAACTAGAGTATATTGTGTGAAGAGACAGATTTGGGCTTCGGTATAACTATCCATAATTAATTTCTAAAATGAGTCTAAATATATTGATGTAGTCTTTAAATATAAAATTGTATAACATTGTGTAGTTAATCATGTGGTTAAATTGAAGAATTTTAAGCTGTTGCAAAGCAGTTGACTTATTAGGAAGATTTATCAAAATGTTATATAGAATTGATCAGGGCAAATCATATATATAGAAGAGATGATGTCATTCTTGTTGAGATAGGTGACCTGATATTTCTCTTAAAATCTCCATTGAGGTTTTTTAGTGTTCTTTTTCATAGGTCTGATTTTTAATTTAGGGCATAAGCAGTCATTTATTTGGAAGCAGAATAGCCCAAAATATCAAATTGAGTGGCCTTTCTGCACTTTTTGAGTCATGATTGTTTACTTAATTAGTTAATACTTTTGAGGCTTCCCGGTGTTTTGTTTGTTTAGTTTGTTTAAAGTTGTCTAGTTTGGGATGCCTGGGGCAAACTTAAAAAGAGCTAACCTCCTTGTGGATTAAAATAATGGAAAATCTCCATATTTAGAGTTTCAGTTGGGAAGAATGAAGTATTCAAATGAACTTGGACTGTGCTACCCAAGGATTCTGGGCTTCAGCCAGAATTGATCTATTTATGGGTTTCCAAAGAGACGTTTAGAAGAGAGAGACATTAGTGTGGGTTGGAGTGGTAAGGAAAGATTATCCCAGTGCCGGATGTGTTAATTAACTTGAGTGAGCAATGAATGAATGATGGGACTGAAGACAGAAAAAAGGATCACAGAAGTGATCACTATTTGTGTGACCTATTTGAGCAAGTGTTCTTCAATCCATTTTTTTCTGATTCCTACATCATGTAGAAATTGAGGTGAAAAAAAGCTAGAAACCTTGGGAGTCATCTTAAACTGTTATTTTCTACCACACGTTCAAGTTTATCTTTTCTCCAGTATAAATTGATTTTGTATCTGGAGTTTCCCAAGAGAGTATTTGATTAAGCCTTGAATTTTTTTTTTTTTTTTTAATGAAGCAATAAAAACTCAGGAGGAAGAACATGGGGGGAGATGAAGCCTTTACTGCTAGGGAGTATTAGTCCCTTCCTCAGGAAAAATATGTAATAACGTAGACACAGTAAATCCAGATTGTCTTATTTTAGTGAGATTTGTAAAAAAGTGTCAGGATTCAGAGATTCATCTTCTAAGGCTTGTAAGATGAAATTGAATTTTTATAGAAACTAGGGTAGAGGAAACAGCTTTGAAATCAAACCTGAGTTCAAATTATAGCTCAGAATTTACTAGTAGTGTGTTCCTAAGGAAATTAATTTTGTTGAGTTTCATCTCAGATATAATATGGGAATGACAAATTCAACCTTGTCGAAGTTGGTGAGGATTTAATGAAAATTTTGCATAAGATACCTGGTACATAATGCTCCTAAACGCTGTTTTCCTTCCCTTCCCTGCAGAACAAATTAGGTGAAAAGAAGTTATCTGAACTCAATAGGAAAAAGGAAGTGTCGTATCTTTATACCAGTCGAGAAGTTATCAACCCTGGCTTCATGTTAGAATCACTTAAAGAACTTTTAAATACTGATTACCATGGCTTTCATCCAGAGATTCTAGTTTAATTGGTCTGGAATGGATCCAGAGATCTATATTTTAGAAGCGCCCTAGCCAGGGTTGATAACTTGACTAGTTATTCTCTGATAGGCATAGGTGAGTAAAGTTAAAAGAGCCACAAGAAGTGACAATAGAGTAATCTTTTTTATGGTGAAAGACAAAGAAAATTCCTACATATGAGTAGAGAAAATGTGAATGTGGTATTTTTAGAAAACTAACTGGTTTTCCTATACAGGTGCAGCAATATATTTATTACATAGAACATGTCTTTGAAGTTATACTAGATAAAATGAAATTCTAACAAAAGTGGGAAACAATAACAGGAGAGAGAAACTTTTCAAATCCCAAGAGTTATTTAAACTTACTAGACCATGATTTTGTACCTTTCCTGCATAAGTCTTCATTCTGATAATGTAGTAACTATATTATTAACATTTAGCCACAGACAAAAGAGGGCCCATGTAATTAATCTTGGTCCCTATGTTTTGTAGAATCTCATCAGTGGTGATTTCTCATTGTCTTTCTGAACAGCCAGTTTCCCCTAATCTGTGTTTTGACTATATAGATTACCAGATTTCCTAAAATAAGATTTAATTACATTTGGGAGAAGGTATGATTTCATCTTGTATTGTTTTAATGAAAGTTGGGCACTAATTACCTGTCCAGTTGGTTTGGAGTTTCATTTGTTTGGCCTCTACTGAGCTTTATACAAACCCTTTCGTTATTTCCTTTACCTTAACTCTGGTTCTCAGATTTCAGTGTGTGTCAGAATCACCTGGACAGCTTGTTAAAACACTTATAATTGCCAAATCCCATCCTCATAGTTTCTGGTTCAGTAGGTCTGGTGTAAGACCTGAGTATTTGCATTTGGTGATGCTGCTGATTCAGAGACCATAGCTTAGAGTGGGATGCTCTGAAAATACTTTAACTTGACTTTCTGCTTTTCAGAGTTATCTTATAATTGAATTATAAGAATTCATTTTTATTTCTTTTCCTCCATATTTTGAAGTAAAATTTGTATCCATTTCACCCCATTATTATTACTAATATTTTCATCCAGTCATATCCAAGGTCTTACCTATTATTAATTCATGCATCCTCACAATACTCCCCTGAGATAGTTAATTGGTTGTAACTGTTTTATGACAAACCAGGAACGGTTAACCCAAGAAGGTAAATGTAGAAAATGGATATAAAATCTGTTTTACTAGATCTTATTAATGTTTTATGTTATTTTTAAAATAGGAGATTATGGTGGGCTCCATGTTTCAAGCAGAGATTCCAGTTGGCATTTGTAGATACAAAGAAAATGAAAAAGGTGAGTTATTAGTAAATTTACTAATTTATAGCTGAATTCATGCTTTTGAATTGATGAACTGTTTTTATAATGGGATAAGAACATGACAGTTTGTTTGTTACCCCACTGATTTATGAAAGAAGACCTCTGCACCAGTATCTGTAAGAAATACGTTTTCTGTTTCTCCACTTCTGTCCATAGAAGTCTAGCCAAAAAAGAAAGAAAGAAAAGTGAATGCTTCTTTGGTATTGAATTATTAGATGACTTAAAACATTCCAACTTTTAATTTTTTTCATATTTTAAGTACTCTAAAAAATATGCCCTTTTATAACCTTTATGATTTATATTTTAAAAGGTTATTTTGTTTCAGTGGAAGCTGTTGGACAGGTTTTAAAAAAAACAAGTAAACAACTAATATAAAAGTTTATTTTCTTCTGAAACTTTTAATATTACTAAAATTGAGTATTTTGATGTTTGTGTACTAAAAACAATTTGGAAAAATTGTTTTACTTTGGAAAAACAATTTGTATACTTAAATTTTACATGTTTTTTTTCATTATTTTGTCTAAAAGTGCTAAGGTAAGTCACAAATAATAAATACTTAACAAAAAAAGAATACTTGAAGATTTTTTTTAAAGTCTATTTCAGATTATCTGCTTTTGGGAGAGTTCCAGAAAGAGAGAGAGAGAGAGTGTGTGTGTGCGCACACACACATTTAATGAGTTTTCATGTGCGGTGTGACATCACTCAATGCTAGAACTCTTTCATCATTTCTTTATTTCAGTTTTCTTTTCCGCACTTCACCTTACATATACAGAGCCTTTGGGAGTTGTTGTCTTGTTTGTTTTCTTTTTTAGCATTCCCTCCAGAAACTTAATTTATATTCTAAGTATGCACCTGCTTTCAGGGCAGAGCAGCAAATCAGAAGCAGTTAAGGGAGCACCACAGGCTAGTAAATTCTAGTGACAGTAGAAATGTTTTAACACAACAGTAATAGCTTTCAAGTTAATTTCTGCAACATACAGGAATGTTAAAGGTATCAATATGGAGTGACCTTGTTGTATATTGAAATTCTGTGCACAGTGTTTGTGAATACATTGTAATTGTGTGCAAAAATGAATGATCCATTGGCTTTTGTATTTTTTTATATGTGGCAAGTTAATATTACGGCTAAAGATGGTTTTAATTATCTCTTAATGTTTATCTTTTATTTTAACATGTTTGCATTGTCAGATATCACAGTGAATAAGTGATCACAATCTCCAATTTTGATTTACTGTTTTCCATTTTAACATTTTAGAAAGCAATTTTATGTGTGTATATATATATATATATTTTTTTTTCTTTCTTTTTCCAGAAAAGCTGTGGTTTATGAAGCTTTCTCACTTTGAGAAATTTAAGCATGTTATATTGTATGAGGATCAGATGCATTTACCAGGGTTACTGCCTTAGAGGAGTCACTATGGTTCAGGCCCTTTCCTCATCTTTGTAGTTCTAGGAATTCAAACTTTGGTCATGATATCAAGAATTCATCTCCACTTAGGTTAACCTGTGCACACAAACCAAATTGTTGTAAAACTATTAGGTAGACCACACTGTTAGAAATAAAACTGTCAAAGGGATAGTGCCTTTTTTCCTTACAGCGAAAGTTTTGCAGGGTATTTTTCATCAGTTTGGTGATCACATTCAAAAGGGAGAGCATTTGGTTTGAGTGATTTTGATAACAGTGCCACAAAACTTAAGATATCTTGATATCTGAACTGTAAGGAATTATTCGGCAGTTGGATTAGAATTTTTCATTGCTATAAGGAAACCCTATTACTGATACGTATCCTAAAGAGACATTAACTTTTTCTCTTAAATGTATGTAAATGATCATTTATACTCAATGAGTATATTATGATCATTTGTTTATTCATCTTTGTATCCTTAATACCTTGGGAGATCCTTTTCACATAAGACACTTCGTAAACATTTGGTAGCTGAGTTATCAGGTGGGTGCAGATAGTGTAAACAGATGTGGAGTCAGTAAACTTAAATCAGTATCTAGGCATTTGGCCATGGACGTGTTACTTAACTACTTTTTTCTTCTCGTCTATAAAATAGCAGTCACCTATTTATTTATAAAGCTCGTGCGAGGATTTACATGTGATGTTTTTACGTGTGGTGCTTAGCGGCATAGTGTTTGGCACATAGAAAATGGTCAGTAAGTGGCATTAATATCCAAAAGATGATTGATCTTACCCTTATGTTTAGGTTTTATTATTCAGATTTTCAGAAAGTATCAATTTATGCTCTTTTGCTTGCAGGTGACAAAAACTGAGTTCAGTTTAGTTTTAGCAAAAAGAATTTACCTGATTGCTTTACTGGGAAGTTCTGGCTAGTCTGGCTTCAAATAAAACTGGATTCGGGATTTTTATGATATCAGGTGTCTCTCCTCCCCCTTTCCTTTATTGTCAGACAAGCTAGGATGGATACTGGGAGCTCATGACTTATACTTTTCACTATTCTAGCCAGGAACCAGGAAAAATGAGAACTTCCCCATCCCCCTTTGCTCCAGCAAAAGTCCTAGAGAGAGCCTCTATTGACTCAGCTTGAGTCTTACCCAACCAGAATTACTGTGAGTCAAGAGAAGAGTGAGTACTCAGGCTTGCCCTGGCTCATTTATCTCTTGGGGCTCCAGGGAGCAGTGTCAGCCCTGCTCAGACTGTATGAAAAGGGTTTAATTCCCCAAAAAGTGCTGGGCGTATGAAAAACATGATTTTTAAAGTTACGTGGGTGTTTTGTTTCTCCCATGTACTAAAAACTGAGTAAATGCTGCAGCTTTGTGATAATACTAAATAATTCGAATACTTGGTAAACATCTTACAATGCACAGGACCCCTTTCCTCAAACTAAGAAGTATCTGGCCAAAGGTGTCAGTAGTGCTGAGGTTGAGAACCCTTTACTAGATTAGCTGAGCATTAGATGGGCTACTTAGGAAAAAAAGTCAAGAGAAAGGAACAAGGTATTCTCAAATTTTCATGCTTGCATGATGTAAATTTTAGAGTAAGTAAATGTTGGCTAGGAATTACAAAGCAGTGAATAGCAAAGGACCAGGTGAATTGTTGTTTCTAATGAATATTAGACGAATTATTGATTAAGTTGCTTACTGAAAAATGAACACATGTATTACCCTTAGTTGATAATAGTACTGTTGAAACAGGCAGTTCAATTAGTCTACACATAGGAAAAGCTCAGCTAGACAACTTAAAATTCATGTCATTAATCACAGTGTGACCTTTTAAGAATGTGGAAATCTCTATTATAAACCGCATTATTACACCTTGCTGATTATGTTTCAGCATTTTCATTCTCATAATATATTGATTAGGTAGAATTTTTACTTGGGCATTAAAAATGGAATGACACCTTTTTTTTTTTTTAACAGAAACTGGAGGTTTATAAATTTCTTCATTTATTTATTCACATTTATTCTTACTCACTAGGAATTTCCCAGATTGCAGAAGTTTTTGATTTTGTGGTGTAGTTTCTCAGCTTTCTACATTTGTCATCTCTATTCCCACCCCCAGCACACATATAATGAACTTCGTTAAATTATTTTGAACTCATTTTTGCTTATCTGACACACTTACTTTGATTACTTAAAATACCATAAAAAGCACTTCCCCAGTTAACAACCTGTGTTGATATACTAGGCGAGCTCCTGCCTTCTGAGACTCTTTCACTTATTTATAATCATTTGTAAATTATATCTTTCAGTAGTATGAGGTGGATATATTTATGGTTGCTTTTTAAAAGTTCTAATATTTAGGCTTGGTAATTCATTCGAATGAAATAGTTTCAGAAGATGCTGTTACAGTTCAGTGATTGTGATCTTTCAAAATCCAGCATGTTCATGAAACTATACAATTATAATAAAGACTTTTTTCCTTCTGTTGTCATATTTATAGAGATTATAAATTTAAAAAGATAAATAAAAGAGATTATTTTTCCTCCTTATTTTTGTGTGTTTTATCATAATGGTGGAGTTCTTCCTGAATTTATGATCTCTTGGTGTTTAGTCATTCTATAGATATTTAATAAATATCAACTGTGTTGCCCTTTTTATTTAGATCATAGTCAGAAGTCATATTTAGAGTATAAACTTAACTGGAAAGTGATTTGGTCTGTTTCTGGAACCAGTTAAGGCAGTGTGGTTTATTCTCTGAGAATGCTAGTGGTTCTCACCTCATTGTCATTTTTAGATGCATTAAATGAAGTATCATATTCTCAGGGTTAGCCTATCTGGCTGCTAGTCACAATTCTAGGGACCTGGCTTGTCATTTGGCGCCATCTGGTGATGTTTGTGTACTCAGTTTAAATAAGCATATCTCTGTATCCTGTGACTTGGGACTTCCAGATTGATTCCAGAAGTATCTCTCAGGTAGTTTGTGCTTGCTTCATAGGCTCAACGTGGGGTATCTAACTGGGAGAACACTGGGGACTCAGGGACCCACCCTCCATTGTCTTCTTCCTGAATCAGGGTTTCCTTGTAAGGCACTGTCCATCTCCCACTCCCACTCCAAGAATATAAGAACTCTAGTGTGTTCCCTTTGGCACATAAAGGCTGAGTGCAGACCAGAAATCAATAGCAGTATATCCAAATTCTCTTTATCATGGGAGTTTTATTGTATTTACAGTTTGGAGTTTTACTACGATTGTACCAACAGGTTAGAAAAGGAATAAGGTTTATTACTAAGGAAAAATGTAAAGTGTATGTGTGTAGTGGCAGGGGAGTGGGTGGGGACAAGGTAATTTATATGAAAACACTTAACATAGTACCTGGTATGTAGGAGATGTACCTTTGTTAGCTGTTAATTCCTTTTCATAACACAAGGAAGTTTGACACTGTCAGCTATACTTTGTCTCTTAAATTCAGAGTCTTTGTCCAGCTGGCTCCTTTCTATTGGCATTTAAGTGATTATGTCTCATGCCTTTAAAAACCAACCAACAAGCAAAACCAAAAACTTTCTTCAGCTGTGCTTCCTCTCTAGCTACTGTACTGCTCTACCTCCTCCCTCACCATGGAACTTTTCAGAAGATCTACTTTATTTCTTTACCTTCCATATCCTCTTCATTCCTCTCCAATATGGCTTTGGCTTCCATCTCTGCACAGAAGCAGTTCTTGAAACATTCCCCTCCTTGTTAGTATATCCAGTGCACCTCTTCAGTTTTCATCCTGCTTGTTTAACAGCATTTAACCAATCTATTACTCTCTGAAACATTTTCTTCCCCTTGCTGCTATGGTGCCACACTTTTGATATTTCTTCTGTCTTGTGACTGTTCCTTCTTAATTTTGTCTGTGTTTTCATCTTCCTGTCATTTAGGATTCCACAAGGCTCTCATCTTAGTTTCTCCTCCATTCTTTCACTTATAAATAAAATTTTGATGAAATTGGGGCTTCAATCTTATTATAATGGAAATTCTGATGAAATCTAAATGCTTTTTTAAAAAAAGTAATGACTTGTTTTATGAAAATGATTTATGCTTATCACAATATATTTTCAAGCATCATGGAAAAGTACAAAGATGTAAGAAAAAATTGTCCCAAATCCTACCACCAAGAAATAAGCAGTGTTAACATTTGGTGAGCATTCTTTTAGACATCCCTATTCAAAAATCATAATTATAGCTAACATTCATTGAAACTTATTTAATATGTGTCAGAATTGTTTTAAATTGCTTGAAATCCTTACAGCCATGTATAATAGGATTGTTTTCCCCATTTCACAGATGAGGCAGAAAGAAGGGAAGTAACTTGCTGGGGTCATACAGGTAGGAAGTGTTGGTACTGCTATTCAAACCAAGGAGCTTGGAATTTGGTAAACTCAAGCTAAGTCAGACTAGATCTGAAAGGGGCATCAAGTGGTACCTTCTGTTTAGATTGCTTAAATCACTTAAGCTATAAATATTGCCCCAGAATGAAGTCACGCAAGTAGTTGGGACCACACTTTCCCTCTCAGTTCTCAACATTTTGGCTCTAAGTATGGGTTATTTGTTCAGTGATACGTTTTAACACAAACTCTATCAATTTTTGGCATTATTTTTAACATTATATTTTACTAATTTAGTATATGAAAATGATGATCAGCTCCTGTGGGACCCTGAGTACTTACCGGAAGACAAAGTGATTGTATTTCTTAAGGATGCATCTAGAAGAACAGGTGATGAGAAAGGTGTAGAAGCAATTCCTGAAGGATCTCACATAAAAGACAATGAACAGGTACATGAATAAGAAATAACTTACAATATTCCCAAAATATATTAACCACATACGTTTATAAGTTTAAGTGCTGTCACATTTCGTGCTATTCTATCCACCAAAATTCCTTTACAGATGGTCCCTGACTTAACGAAGGTTCAGCTTAAAATTTTTTGACTCTATGATTGTATGAAAGCAGTATGCGTTCAGTAGAAAGCATACTTCAAATTCTGATCTTTGCCCAGGCTAGTGTTGAATATCTCTTGTGATGCTGGGCAGTGTAAGAGAGCCACACCTCCTGGTCAGCCATGTGATCATGAGGGTAAACAACTGATACAACCATTCTGTACCCATACAACCATTCTCTTTTTCACTTTCAGTACAGTATTCAGTAAATTACATGAGATATTCAGCACTTTGTTATAAAATAGGCTTTGTGTTAGATGATTTTGCCTAGCTGTAAGCTAATGTAAGTGTTCTAGCACATTTAAGGTAGGCTAGGCTAAGTTATGGTGTTCAGTAGGTTAGGTGTATTAAATGCATTTTCAGCTTACAGTATTTTCAACTTAGGATGTATTTTTTGGGACCCATTGTAAGTAGAGGAAGATCTGTAATGTCATCAACAGGGAGTCTGAGGTTTATAATCAGCTTAAGATATGTAGTATTGACACACTCATTGGTATGACTTCAGCTCAAATAAAAATTTTGATATTTTATTTTGCCTGTATATATTTTTTTATTAGGCTTTTTGAACTTCCTTTGCATATCCCATAGAATCTGTGGATATCATCAAGTTGGGAATACCTGTCTGGCTGGGATAATGTTATTCTGTATATAATAGAACAGTGCCTACCATGAACCTAATAGCAGCATTATATACTTTCTTGCCTTTTTCACCAGTGTTTTTCTTTTCTGATTTGTTTTAAATTGTCTTTGAATAGGAACCCCAGAAAACCAAAAAGAAGGGACTTGTGATTATTATAAAATTTCTTTTTATTTATAAATTCCTAGAGTACCATGGCCACCAGTAGAGTATTTGCTTATCCATTATTTTCTACATATTCAGAGGCAGTTAATTATCAGGAATGAATTATGTTTGTTTTTCTTTAGTGTTCTTTATGTTGCATTTACTAGAATTATTTGTCCTCCAGAAAGTATGAAAACACTGGATTCTGGAAAAGCCTTTACTCTCGTAAGAAACTGTAGCCTTGAATTGTTCATAGTCCAGGTTACATACTGAAGCCTTTTATTTTTCTAGGCATTATATGAATTAGTTAAATGCAATTTTGATACAGAAGAAGCATTAAGAAGATTAAGATTTAATGTAAAAGCAGCTAGAGGTAAGCATAAATATTAATTTTTTATTTGTTTTCATGATACAGCAGAAATTTAAAATTTAAGCTTTTCAATTTACCTAGGTATATCCTAAATTTAATAATACTAATCTCTGAATTCAGTAAATATTTGCTGGAGAACAACTTGTTATAACTTGTTAAATAACTTGTATATAACACAAGTGTTACACAAGGCATTATGGGGAATGGGGTTAATATTGTCCCTTCCTTTATGGGAAAATAAGGCCATTTAAATAAAAATATATAATGCCTTTCAATTTTAAGGCATTTTTATAAACATTTTCCTATTTGATCTTGGTAATGATCCTGTGAGCTAAGTAAGGTGAAAGATGTTAGCTTCACTTTAAAACTGATGAGAACTGAGGTCTCTTAGCTGAGGCAAGCATAATTCATAAATAATGAAGCCAAAACTAAAATCCAGGTTTTTCACTTTTTTACTCCAAACTGGCTCTAACCCCACTTCACTGAGAGTACTGTTTATATATCATTATGTAACAAATGAAAGATTATTCATTCAACAGAATTGGAGGGCCTACTAAATTGTGGAGACATAACTATAAACAAGGTCCCTGACATCACGGTGCTTAGAGCCTAGGTAGGGAAGCTGAAAAATAGTTACGAGTTCTTCCAAGGAGAATTAGAGGGTACAATCCAAACTTATTGCAGTGGGACTTAACCTAGTTGGGGGAAAGAGG